TATATGAATTATTATTGTTTCATTTGAAAAAGTGCGGTTATAAAATATAAGTCACCCGTGTAACCATTATAAAACCCTCAAAAATCAAGCGGCGTCAAGGACAATTATTATTGTGCTTATGTATAGGTAATCGGTGGATATCTGTTCCGAAGGTAGGCCATGGTCTAATAATTATTATTTTGTTAAATAAATAGTTAGGAAAAATAAATTATGATTAAAATATTTAATCGAAATCATATCATATTAATCTGCTGTACAGATTAATAATAATTAGGTAACTATAATTAACTACATAATATTATATAAAAAAATAATTTTTGGTTATGTTGAAATCGAATGATCACGAAGAGCATGTGTTTTTAAAAAATTTTTACGTATTATGTGACATCAATATTATTGATTTAAAAAAATAATTTTAATAATTGATTTCTAAACCTGAAAACAGTGTAGATTTGTTTGAAAATAATCGTTTGTTTATTAATATTTAACGTGTTTTTTTCAGTTACCTCAAAAACTTTTGTAAATTTCGATTATTCAATAAAAACACAACTCTAAATAAAATCTAAATACAATTAGTTTATGTATTTTTAAACTATCATTGCGTATAGAAAACTATAATAAGTTTCAAGTGTCTAAACGATTAATATTTTTAGAATTACAACAGTAATCACTTTAAAAAAAATAAATATCCAATTCATCAAAAATTAATTGTAAAATACTTTTAAGAGATTAATGAGACTAATTATTTTTTTTTTTCAATTTCAGTGAGGAAAACTTATGAAAAATCTTGCAGTATTATACTTTTGAACTTCAATCATAAAGTATAAAGTATATATTATATTTTATACATTTTAAACAAAAAATAATTTACAAATTTTTCGAGAATTTTAAGAATATTTCGTTAATTTACAACAGTGATATTTTCATTAAATTCTATATGATTTTATACATTTATAATATTTAATGTTTTAATAATAATTTATGGATACTTTCCAATTCTATTGTACCATTTAAGAAATTTAAAGGTTTTTGAAATTACTAGTTTTAGACCAAAAACACTATCAGCTAATTAAATTTATTTATTTTTATGTTATTATATGTTATACTTGTTATAGTATGTACAATAATTTCAAAAACAGTTTTTAATTCGTTATAACTAGGCTTAGGTCGTAGGGACTTATAGCTCATCAAATATATAATAAATTTTTTTGACTAAACGTCTGGATTATTTACATTTTTGTTTTATATTTATTTACCTTATGATTATTTATTTATTTTTTGTTTTATTTCGTTATTTTGCGTTTGTTGTTCCATATCATTAATAAAATCATTTATAAATAAAAAAAAAATATATATATAAAATATTTATAAATCATTAATATCATTTTTAATGTGATCATTTAATAAAATTAAAATCATGAGTCAATATGTAAAGATTTGTATCGGTGAGAAAAAGTGTAGATCTCATGTGTGGAAAACACATTTAAGATATTATATAATATTTAGCAATTTTAATTTTTAAATTACATTTATTTTTTAGGAAATAATTAAAGAAAAACGAATTAAAACATGACTACATGAATAATGTATAAATATATAAATACAATTTTGAATCTCAAGTTTTCTATTTTAAAACAGAATAATATGTATACAGTATACTTTAACTGCTATTTATTAAACTAATAAAAAAATATATAAAAATCTAGAACCCCCAATACATAAAATTGACCAAGGTTTAGAATATAGGCAGAGAATTTCCACAATATCTTTAATAATTTATCATTAACACACAGCAGCATAGCACAGAAGCAAAGTATCTATTTGAAAACAGAAAAACTAATAATTTTATAATACAATCGACATCCTGTCTGTATAAATAACTGTCTATAGCCAACCCCTAATAATAAGAATATACAGTCCATGATAGAACTTCTGCAAGGCTGTGAATACTGGACCTACCAGAAGCATTGTATGTATGTATGTATGTAGATATTTATTTAAAAAATAATATGTGCACTTATAATAATATTCTGTACTTTATACACTTTCATCGCTACTCCATATTATTTTAAACTCGAAGGCCTCTGGTAAAATCAATTTGAAGTTATCTATTTTTCATTTTCATGTTAATAAGATCAAATTTTATTCCAATGTATTAATTAATTTAGTTTGATGTTATGGATTTAAAAAAAAGGTTTGAACTACTCGAGTATTGCCTTTTTTAGCACTACAAACATTTTTTAAACAAATATAATAAATATACAATTTTATCAAAAATTTGATTTAAAAATGTAAAAATATTAATACATTTAAATATATTCAATAGTGAATTACGCTTCTTCGTATTATCCAAAGTAAACAAATTGTTTTAATCCATTTTTAACATAAAAATAATATCATTAATACGTATGATGGAATGAAAATTCTTTAATTTAACAGTGAAATAAAATGCAATTCATTAATTTATAATGATATAAATAAAACAATTATTATTATAGATTTATAAGCGATTTATAAAATTTTAAATATGTGCATAAGTGTGCGAGAATAAGAAACCAAATTACCACACATAGTACTATAATGATCATTAGCAATACATCGTTTTGTTGCCTTTATTAAACTTCATAGAAATAGTGTTTGGAATTCCTTTAAAAAAAGGGGTCAAGGGGGAAGCAATTCTTCTCCCCTTAATGAGGTAACAAATTTGTAGGTGCGGCACTCTTTTATATAAATATATTTATATCTTAATTGTTTACAATTATGTCGAGTAAATTGTAACGGTGAACTTTAAAACACTGTATCTAAAGAGAAATAATAATGTATTATCGTGGCTTTAATCAATGATATTGTTCTTTGATAGCAAAATGTGCTTATTCTTCTTTGTGGAATTTATTTTAAGTACCCATATTTCAAGTATACAACACGTCAACACGTATAAAATTAATTTTTACCGTTAAAAATTTGTATTTAGATAATATATAAACTTTAACAATAAGCTATTCAATTGTATAAAAATCCGATGGTTGAATCACAACAAAAATATTTTTAACAGAAATTAAGGAGCCTGCATGTCACGTGTGACTATAATTATAATAATATAATTTTGAATGTTAATACTGTAATAACATAGTATATACTAAACTACCAAAGTCAACAATTGACATAGAAAAACTAAAAAAAAATTATGAAAAAGACAAAAATGGTCTAACAAGATTGAGAGTGAAAGACCACGGATTTCTTTATATAAAGATAGCCATCATTGCTTATATTATGCTATGATTCATATAAGAATCATATATTAATTTAGCTGTACAATACGAAGTATTATGAAAAAACCTAATTATATTTAAATTTTAATCTACAAATATTTTTACAGCATTGAAATGAGTTAATGTCCGATTTTTTTAAATTTAATTAGATATTGAGTATAATAATAATAACATTTTTTACTGATAAATTATTTTCACGATACAACATTTTTTCGTCATAAATTTTATAATTGTTATTCGTGTCAAACATTTTTTTTTTTTTTTTTTACAGGAATATAAAATATGAAAAATAAACATGATATACAGAATACTTCATTTGTATTTTTTTTTTTTTTTTTAATTATATTCGAATACAATAAACTAAGTTTCTGTACAAAGAATCATAATACTTTAACTTAAATTCTTTTCAAGGCAGGATTTTATTTAATACCCCGCGCTGTATACCTTTTAATACTGCACTACTAAATAATATATATATAGATATTACACAAATCACGCGCCGCTAAACTATCGTCACAATACATGTATCTATATTTTTATGTGTGCATAAATATGAATCATTTCAACATGTTTGTGTTGTACAGGGTTATTCACTAAAGATGCTCATTCCTTTTTTTATCCTTTAGTAATGCATTTATTCATATTAAAATTTTATTAAGTTTTTAATGTAGCTAGTACATGCTAACTGTATTCATACTTATGCGTTCATAATTTATGTGTTCAGAATCCTAAAATGTTTTATATACTATTTAAGGGAAGTCTTGTAGCGATATAAACTTCATTTTTTAAATGTGAACAGCTCTCTTTTATTGTAAATGTTGATGCATCTAAATCAAAACTTGAACTAGTAGTTTCTGAATTATTTAACTTAATAAGGATATGTTATTAATGGTTTTTCATTTAAAACATAAATACGATTTAATAGTTAGTTTAGTAACTTTCTATACTCAGATAATTTAAAATATTTATAAACATAAAATGCTATTATGTTAGTTAAAATTACTAGAATTTTTAAATCATCATAGCCCACCCAGGCCACTCTATATATTCAAACATATAATATTATAACCAAGGGACTATTATTTTTAAAATTCGATAACTCAAAAACCACTCGTTTGAATTTCGATTTATATAACTTTGTTTAAATAAAATTATGTTTTATAATTTATAATTAAAAAGACTGATTTCGTTTGGATAAAATAAGTTTGTTTTAACATAGCAAATAGTCGTACTGATGAAGAAAAATCTTATAGATTCTTTGAATAGGAAAAAATACCTGTTTGATTTATGGTCTCATAAAATTCAAAAAAAAATGTTATTTTCATGAATATTACGAGTATATTTAAGTGAAAATGTGTAGATTGGTATGCTTGTTGAATCACTCTGTACGTACCAATAATGTACTTCTATATGTATAAAATATAAATTAATGTATATAAGGACATATTATGAACAAAAACGACCAAATAGCTAAAATACATGGCACAATTTGTAATAGGTATAATAAAATAAATAGTGTCACCTTGGCAACAAGCTGCCACCAAAAACGTTCAATCATTCCTTTGCCGAAACACAAAAGCCACTGCTCGCGACATTATAATAATATTATATCGCTGTCGTCATTGCTGTTTGTATAATATAGGTCGGTAATGTAAAAATGTATGTATATATATTATTAGGTATTGTCATCGCGATTATACGCACGTGCGCAGGTCTCCAATAATAATAATAATAATGAAAATAAGCATCGCACAGTTTATTATGTATAATTACGTAGATTTTCCGCTTGAGCGATGGATGAGGAGCAGCTGCAACCGGTACGTGCAACCCGCTTGTAAATAATATTACTTTTATTACTGTGATTTATCTGCAGTGTCGCATTATTAAAAATTTCATGGGAATACGCTTTTTCACGCTTTTTTTCACATTGTTAAATGACAAAAGTAAACGTCTTATGATCGAGTAAAAACAAATTGTGTTTACTCAAAATAATAATTTTCTTTAGACCAATATTAAGTATGTGAAAGTTTAGTTTATTCTTTAAGGGGATCGTACGTATTTTTCATACCATTTTGACGGATAAGCAGTGCAGGTAAATTACACATACGTCTCATAGGTACTCGTACTTTGCAATGCTTGATTTTAATTTATAATGTACCTGTGTATAAATTTTTCGAAAATATATCCAGGCTATTTTAGAAGTCGATTTTAAATTTTAATGAACCTTAAAATTAATATATTATCTTAAAAAATCTGTGAAATAATTGCATTGGCATTTATGTTCGGAACATCAGATTTTAAATAGAAAAAAGTAATTCTTAAAAAGCTATTCTAGAAATTTATGAATTCAACCATTTTTCGAGATTACAATCGAACTTCGGGAAGTATGTTTAATTTATTTCTAGTTTCAGTAGTTTTTATAGATATGCAAATAGAAATATACTTATTTTTCTACAACGTATTGACATGGGGGTGCGCATGTAAAATTATATTCTACCAAAAGCGATAATGGGTACACACACTAATTTTCATTTACAACTCACCAATAACACAGTCCAAATGTACGTGTCATATGAATTGCCTAAATGTTACTCCTTAAAACATTTTACACTACACAATCCCTTTCAGAGGATGTCAGTGCACGTTTGTTTTCTTTCTCTGGTTCACGCATAACATAATATAGACAAAATGCATTTACGCAAAATCATTTTTTTTCTTATGTTTTAAATAATCATAGAGTAAATACATATATTACAAAAATTATAGAGGATAATATTTTTGATAGTTGAACATATCGGTCTTATATTTTATTAATATTTGACTTATACGATTCAACTTAAAAAAAAAAAAAAAATTATAAATTTAATTGATGTTTAAAATTATTTTAAGATAATATTTAAAGAAATCGTTATGCATACTCATAAAAATATTATTTTCTATAATTTTTGTTATGTATGATTTTATTCTAAAATGAATTAAAAACATCAAAAAAATGATTCTGCATAAATGCGTTTTGTCTGTTACGCGTGAGCCAGAAAGAGAAAACAAACAGTACACTGTGACATTTTTGGATATTTTTAATAGAAAATATTCATCAAAAAAAAAAAAAAAAAATAATAAAATAAAATAATTAAGAATACAGTAAGTTACAGTTTAACTAAAAATACTAAAAAATGTAAGTATTTTTAATTTTTCGTACATTATTATAAGCGTAAAATATAAAATAATTATAATAATTTTAAAATAGTGAGTATCTACCATTCTGCTATATATTATAGGTGCCAAGTGGGTTCTCATTATTGTTATGTTTAATATGAATTCAATATACGAGTATACCATTTTAATACTTTATACGGAAAAATATAAAGAGATAATGTTTTTTTGATATAGCTATAAAAATCAATTATTTTACTTTTAGTAGGTACTATAGTTGGTTAATATATATTTTCTGAAAATATTGTATTTATTGTATTATTAGGATTTAATAAATAGTATATAGATATTTATACCATATTATATCAAATGAGGATTATAACTCAAAATTTAAAAACATCTTTCTATAAATACCGTTAAAAATAAAAATTGATATTACCTATTATAAAATAAATCAAAAATATTATTTAGTAAAATATAATTTATAAAAATATAAATTCCCACGAATTATTTTAAATTATAATAAAATAATTACCTAACATATCGTTTTTATCGTTCAACTAAGTAATGTTATCCAAATTGGAACTTAAAATGTTTATGAAAAATAATCATCTATAAAGATTTTTTAGATTTTATAGTTCTATTTTGAAATACTTAGAAGAATTTTGTAATAAATTTTAAAAACTTAGATATAAGAACAAAGGTTTTTTATACATTTTTAACGATAAATAGTTTGAAATTTTTTTGCGATTCTGACGAATTACGTCAAAATTCTAACCTCAAAGGCATATAAAATAAATGTGTTCCTATGATTTTTTAATACTTTTATACAGATATAATAATACATTTTTTGGTACCTAGTAATACATTTTCAAGTATTTCTAAATAATGATTAATTTTGTATAAATATTTATAAAAAAAAAAAATTATAAAAATTAAAAATTTTTCATATCTATAAATAACCAAAAAAATAGTTTAAAAATGTTGGATATTTTTTCGTATAATGGAAATAATAAAATAAACCTTTGGTGAAAATTATTAATAGGTATTCATCAATTATCAATATTATTGTAAACAATATTCATCTTTTCGTTCATAAAAGCATATATAAATGTGTAAATACCTATCTGTTTATTATTTAGGTATTACCGCTAAGAATCGTTTAACATTACATATTAAATAAAAACATTTTAAAATTTATCGTTTCGTTATTGATAAACATAGTAAGTCGGACATATTTAGATTAATTTGATATTTTATGTGTTTCACTATGCATTTATGGTTTTTATTATACTGGTCTTATGTAGGTACTAGAAATACGCGTGTCAAGATCCGAGTACAAATATTAAATAAATAAAAGTAGTGAAAAACAATGGTTTATTCAATTTAAACTTAAAATAAATGTACGATCAAATTATAATTATATTATCTTACCCACATTATTGAACGATTTTGAGCAGCGCTTTTTAGATGAATCCATATTTTTCTTTAAAAAAATGCTAATTTCCATTTTCTTTCAAACTAGATATTTTTCTACATATATTAAAGTATTTATTTGATATTTTAACTAGCACTATTGTCGTAGAGTTTTCATATTGTTGAATACACCATACGTATTATAAAGAGAGAACTAGGTTACTGGTTAGGTCTATACGTTTTATTGGTTGTCGATTCTATTTTGGTCAGTGGTCACAGGTCCGTGGTTAAATGAAGAATTAATTTCTAACTAATTACATAAAGTAATAAATTATTCGTCTGTTTGATAAATCTTTTCTTTAAGTTAGTATTAAGTTTTTATTTTTTCAAACAAATTTTGGTCAAGAGTGTTAACAGTAAATGTCGCTGCATATTTTACTTTTGGACCAAAATTTGAGTATTTCTACCATGGTAGTAGTGGAACATGAAAAAAAATACTTCATTTGTATTATTGAATTGGTATGTAAATGAAATGCCGAAAAAGAGAGGTTTTAATTAGTTTTACGTAGATGCTATATAAATTTGGCAAAAAAAAGGCTATGAGAAATTCATGTGATTGAAATTCGTTTAAAACATTCACTTACCTATGTATACCTTTATAAATTCAAGCTTTGAAAAATTGCGCCATAATAGATCTTTTAATATTTTTATGTAATTATTGTAAGTTACAACGTGAGAAAAAAGGTGCGATTCAATAGTTATTAATTTCCTAAACTATTAACCTACTGATTTATTGCTTATTTTTATTTTTTTTACAATTCCAATGTACACTTGATTGTCGATTAAAATTGATGCTCATGCACCTATAAGTTCTATAAAGTTATTATCATTGATTTTCAGATTATCACTATATTTATAACAGCTATTTTTGGAATATTTCTTCTTTAATCTGTTATACATTTCAAAACCTATAGAATTATAATTAGGTACCTTTGACTTACCCATAATAGATAAAGCCATAACACGTATTAGAGTGGCACATTGAGCACGCATAAACATATTTTATGAAACAGAAAAAAATTACATTAATCGAGTATGTGAATAAATAATTCAATTTCTACTAATAAATTGTAAGTGTTAAACGTGTCAATGTATTTCTACATATGTATTTATTATTAATTATAAATATATAATTTTAGATAAAAAGGACCCGGACAGAATTGCACAAGAAACACACTGTAGCCAGTGAACACCGATGTGTGCAGTGGATACCCCAAGTGGACGTGGTCAACGACAGCTTGGACACAGCCTTGTTGTCTGTTTACAGTCACTCGGGGCTAACGTTCCCTAAGAAAAACGAAGTGTGCATGCAAAAAGAAACTTTTATAATGTGTTTGAAGTGAGAAAATTATCGAATATAATTATATATTATATAATATTAAATGTAAATGTATAATAATAATCCACTGAGCGCATTTTAGCACTAGGTATACTAAAGTTTGAAAAATTTTTAAGAAAAAACTAATAAACATTTTTACTTTTTGATACATGAAAGTTTTATTATGTTATAGAAAATTGTATCTAAATTCCTAGTTTTAATAATTATATAATATATGTAGTAATTACCAGTTTTAATCATAGTTAAACTCATTAGTCATTAGGTAATGGGGTTAAGTGTACTAATTTTTAAGGGAATATTTTAGTCCATTTTCCCGATTTTGATAATTGATATTGTTCTCTCAATTCTTTGCATCAAAAATTATCGAAATTAATGGATATATATATATATATTATGATTTGAAGTCATTACTTTATTTTTGAAAAAAAATAATACATTTTCTATTTATATTGTTATCTATTTCCATATTGGTTTTTTTTTAAGTATGACAAGATGTGTTTAAAATATACTTATAAAAATAATAAAACTAGCAAAATTTGATATTTTTATTACAATACATATGTCATATTTAAGTATATATCTTTTTATTCTTAAACCTTTTATTTAATTGACTCATTCAGTAAATTGACTCAAATACTCAGGCCTGGGTGAACAAATAAGCAGCTATTATTTAATAGGTATATATTGTTATGCTGTGGCAGGTATATGATAATTTACAAAATCATTCCACACAGTTTAAATATTAATATTAAACTTTCAACTAAAATCATTTATTGTTTCCAGGAAAGATATAGACAATATAGGTATGCTCAAAATAAATATATAAAAAATTTAGAAATATATAAATTCAATTTATATTCATTAGACACAAAGGTACAGTAAAACCTGTCTTGTGCGGAATTGCACAGGACCAATGAAAATTTCCGTTTTAGGCATGTTTCCTTATAACTGAATAAAACGGAAAATTCCGTAGTATAGAGTTACGATATACTGCACGATTAAAGTTGTAACATTTTCCGGTTAATATTAAAAATTAATAAATATCATAAGCTACAATAAATTTTAATTTTTAGTAAATAATAAGCGCTAATTTATAAAATCAAGATAAAATTTAGTTATCTATCGATACGTATTAATCGCTGACCTTAATAATTGTTCAGTAGCAAAATAAATGTAGGCATCAAAAATATTTTTGTTAATTTTATGATGTGTTTTTCCGTTTGTTAAAGCCTAAAGGTATATATGATTTATGAGACCAAAATATAGCTTTTCGTTTCACGTAAAACAGGTTCCGTTTTATCAAGGGTTTAATCCTATGTTAAACTATAGAAATCTGCCAGGACCATAAAAAATTTCCGCACAGAACAGGAATCCATCTTATCAAGGGTTCGCACAAGACAGGTTTTACTGTACATAGTTTTTACAAGAGTAAATAATATAATTATAAATAAAAATATATTATATGTACTTATATGTTTAAGAATTGTATGAAAGTTTATTTATATTAAGATACTGAACTGCAATAACACAGAAAGACCTTGTTTAATATGTTAGGTTTAGTTTTTTATGTGTTAATCTACAATTAGGTATCTTATAAGATAATTAAACCTTTATCAGAATTTTAAGCATATAATATTATATTTGTACGTATTAGTATATAGAAAAATTATATTATAAGCTCTCATCAAAAAAAACTGTGTATTTCTTTGATAAGTTAATGTACTGGTATCAGTTAATATTTTTCATAGCCGAATAATATCCATGTAACTAGTTAATACTCATAAAAATATGTTTCTTTGAAAAATCTTTAAGTTAGATAAGTAGTTTAGTATCTATTTTTATATATTATGAACATAGTATACATAAGTACTTACTTTTTTGGTATATTACAACTATGAAATAAATAAATATGAATACAATTTGTTATTAAATAATAATAAAAAGTAATAAAAAACACATCAAATAGTTTTCAATAAGTTCTTAACCTAACCAACATGTATTATTATTATTATTATTTCAAAACATTTTCTTCTTGTTTTTATAGTGAACTTTATAAAACTAACTGATTTTAAGTTATTTGTCAAAATCTAATTGAATATTTAAAATTCTGTAAGTCTATGGTTTTAATAAAGTTGAAAGTTCATAAATATGCTTGATAATATTATACAACTAATAAAGAAAAAATTTTTGTAAAAGGAAACAGTTGAATAGTATTCGATCAGAGCATAAAGTGGAAAAACTTTTTAGAAATCATCCATTGAAAATGGGTGGACTTATTGGTGAACGAAAAGACATCAATAGTATTAAACTAGGACTAGTTGGCAGTCATATTTCACAAACTAACCATGGATATTCAAGAAAAGAAGATGGTACTTTTTACAACTATTAAAATATAATAAGGTTTTAGGTTAGTATAATATTTATAATAATGGTACCACATAGTATCTAATAAGTAATAATCAATCAATATTGACATTTTCAGATAAGCAATAGAAAGGAATTTTTCAACTTACTCAAAGATTTTACATCAATCATATTAAAAAATAAATAACACTATTGGTAATTATAATATAATTCTATACTTGAAATTTAATATCAATTACAAACGACATAGTTTAAAGTAAATAGTAATATATTAAATTAGGAGTGTACAAATATATATTAAAGTATACTCCAATACATAAAATCAGTTTTTTTTTTAAAAAAAAAAACGATATACAATTTGTTACTGAAAACAATTTAATAGATAAATTATTAATATTATTTAAAAATAATATAATTCAATTCTTCATTGGTTTTATCTATGGCGTTAAAATATAATCATAATATTATAAATATTTATAAATGTAATTTCTAAATAAAATAGACAAAAATAAACATTAAATATGATGTATGTAAATATATAAAATAGATATTGAATAATTAATTTAGTAGCTTAAAAGGCAGAGTTTAATAAATACAATATTACTCTGCGATAAAAATAAACTTAGACATTGTAAAATATCAACCATCTAGTTATAAGGACGGCAAGACAAGTTTAGGAAGATAAAATATTCAATAAATAATTTGACTCAACTAAACTGTTTTTAAACATTTTATCAGATGTAACATTAAAAAAAATAATAATTAACTGATGAGATAGGTAATTTATAAATATCTGGGATGATTGATATTTTACTTTTTCTTAGTATGAAAAAAGAAAAGTGTAAGTTATTAAACAAAAAAAAAAGATTGATATTTTTATGAGTCTATTTTAAATTGTATTTGATTATTATACTGAAGATTATCCATCCTAAGTACAGCAAAGACTTGTACATACATGATATGGTTGAATTTTCAGTATTTTACAATTCTTATTTTATTAAGTATAACATAAAACAATAATAAAAATTCAACAATTTAATCAATGTATGTACAGTGAAACATTAACAATTACTGATGAGTAGAAAAAAGGAACATATAGCAGGTACTAAGCATTTAATGTTTATTTTACATAACTAGATAGGTAGTTTTTACATTAAATTAATTTAAAAAATGTTATGATGGGAACAAAATTAATTCATGAAACATATGCATAAAATTTAAGTTAAACAACAACACTTTTGATTATAAATACATTATAAATCTATTATAATTACATCAGTTAGTTAGCTTAATTGAAATCCATTTGTACATATTACATCCATACATGATATTGGTTGGTACAACTCGTCAATTTAGCAATCGCATAAAACATAATATTCATAATATTATGTAGTTTTACTATTGATGTTTTAAATACTAAACTATATAATTGGCCTGATTTATTACTCAACCAAGATTGTCAGTGAATAAAATGATACACAATAAACAGAATTTTAAAACTTAAATGAGTATAACACTTATTATAATCACCTAAAATAATTAAAACTTACAAATATAATTTATTATTTACATGTATAGTATATATCTAAAATAGATACAAATGATTTTGACATTTATACGCCATACAGGAAAATAATAAAATTGTCGTCACAAATTAAGATAAATTATTTAACTTTGCTTTTAAGATTTTATATATTTAACTGCAGTCAAAACAAAAAGAGTAAAAAATATTAAGAGGCATATTAATTTTTTATCTATATATTCTTGAAAAACTTGGTTTATTTGTAAATTTTTAAATCTTACACAGTTACATAAAACATTAACAATAATCAATTAAGAAATTGTATAGTTTAAAATATTTTTGAAAACTGAGTATATTCAAAATAATTAGTAATCAAATTTTTGTTTGCTAAACTAAAATGTTATCACATTTATGATATTTAAAATACTATTTAATATTATTTAGTTTAAAACTTTTCATTTCTGTCAATACAAATATTTAATTATGTGACCAATGAGTATTAAATATTATTTACCAGGTAATGACTATAAAATGAAACATGAAATAAAAAAGTGTCATTAATTTATTCTTAATTTGTGAGACATATAAATATATTATATCATATATTTAAAATGGTAAAAACAAAAAAATACTTATAAAGTCTGTTTTAATACAATTTATGACTAAAATATATTAATAAAGGCAACATATATAAACCGTACTTAGAATAATTTCTAGAAACTTTAAACTAAATTTTATTTTTCACTTATATCTGTAAATAGTTATCTCAATTATTACAACTGTAACTATATAATATTCATAATAGATATTTATACACAAAAGTTAGTTGTAAAAATTATGTAACTAACACACAGAATAAGTAGTTTGTAACATAACACCAATAATTTAATTTTAATAGCAATATAATTACATTGCCATTAAAACAATTAAATGCAAGTAAATCTTAAAATTTTAAACACTATAATGCTGAAAATATTTATTTCTTTTTTTGCACAGTAAATATTTTTTTAGATTAATTCATTTTTAAATTTCTTTTAAGAATTGAGAACAAAACTCATACTTAAGAATATATTAAGTGTAGGTACTTACATCATAAAAAGAAATAAAATGTAAGATCTTTATTTTATAATAGTTCTTAAAAACTTGTGATTTTTATATCTATATCATTTAGACCCACTTTTTAAACTATTTAATCGGCACATTTATTATTTGAATGTTGTAATGGCATTTTCAAAAAAGAAAAATATATATAAACTTATTAAATTACTTAGACTCAAAGCTCCTACTTGGAAATTTCTAAATTACAAATCATTTGAGTAGATATTGTAAATTTTTAATTTTATGCCTACTATTTTAAAAGTATTTAAAATTTATTTTGGTTTATGGCATAAACAAATATATTATATATATATATAATAGCATTATAATTTTTATATAACATTTTTTAAGGATATATATATTTTTTTAATGACTAAAATTTACACTCAAAACATAGTTAAGTTATTATAAATTTCATAGATATTTTGAACATTTTTTTTTTTTAAATTTAAGAATGTTTAATTTACAGAGGTTAAACAAAAAGATGTTAAAACACAATATTTTCAAAACATTTTTATTCAGATCACATTTAGAGTTAAGCATATAAATTTAAGATAGGAAAATTTTAATTTATATACTATGGCTCTTAAACAATTAACTTTATGATTGTTAAATATTTATTTTAATTGGTTAAAATGGTTACTTAATAGAAATACTATGTACTTACAAATATTACATTTTTAGTAATATTTTGCACATAAAAATAAACACATATAACTATATACTAATTAGTAAGTACATAGTATTAATTATGTTTAAAATAAGGAATGTCGAAGCCAATAATATTAATAAGAATTAAATCAAATAGGAAAATTAAATATTTGTTAAATTTAATTTATTATTACATAGCAAAAATATTTATGTAAAACTATTTTAAAATCTCAATGACATACGTTCATACTTTTCTAGTAAGGACTTTATAGGTATAGAAATAAATAATATATTTAAATTAAAGATCAGATCCTTTAAATTATAAAACATTCTTAATTTACTTAATGTGTATAGATTAAGTAAGTTGGTTCTCAACCGGTATATTATGTAGTGCTATAATGTATGTTACTAAAAATGTTTTGATCAGTTTATTTTTGATTTAATCATCATTTGTAATTAATGAAATACATGTATTTATAAAAATTTATATTTAATTTATAATAAAATGTAAATATAAAAATTTATACTTCGATTTTTTTTTCAAAAATCTAGTAGTTAAATGTGCTGCTATATATCTAGATTAAAGTTAGTGAAAAAAGGTTGAGAACATATGTATATTTAAATTTATTTACTCTTGTAATAGACTTTTAAGGAACTCAAAAAATAATTAACTTATAAATTATGTAATATAATAGTTTAGACAAAAGAATGAAGCAAGAAATTTTAATTTTTTTTATGTATAGCTGTTTGGAATATTTTTTATATTTAAATAAAATTTTAGAAATAAGCTATTTAAATTCAGTCTTTTTTTTTTTTTTGTCCGAAATTTTATAAATATATATGAATGTATAGTTTTTTTAAATTTTTTTTAATTTAGGTCAGCATATGGGTTAAAATACATTTTTAAATACCACTTAACTATTTTAACTTCTTATCCTAAATTATCTTTTTCTTTATTTCTAACTTATACTTTAAATGTTAATTTTATATTTAAGATATTATATATATATATGTTAATTATATAATGCTCAAAGATCAACTTTATATTTTATGCAAACCTGTGTCATCATTGCTGAAATTAAAATATTGTGGTGAAAACTTAAGTTAGTTTGATATTTGAGGATAACTATTATTGAAGTATCTATTTCCAAATGTAACTGAACAGGTAATTATGCATTATCTGTGGATATCTCAAACGGTTTCCGAGTGTCAGGCATTATGTTACCATGGAGAACTATTACATTGTATTAAATTTGACGATATAACACAATTTTTGATGATTTATTAATTCTCAATCTGGAAAAGGGAAGCAAAATAATCGCTATAATATAATATTTAATGGCTTATAAGTGTACCTGAGGGTGCACTGAATGTTAGTTAGTGTTAGTACTAGTATTAGTGTTACTACAAGCATTATTTGTAGCTTTTTTTCGTACTTGTCTTTTGCGATCAGCATATATTAAACATTTCATTTGTGCTTTATTTTCAGCAGCGTTCAAACTATCTTCACTATCATCGTGGCTATTATCTGTAAACATACTTGTATCAAAATCACTATCTTGATCTTCTTCGGAATCCCAATGTTGCCATTGCCTGTAATTTAAATAATAATAATAATAATAATAAATCAATTGTATGATAAAATTATTGAAGTGTAGGTAAAGTTAAAGATTTCCTTTGTTGATTTAATTCAATTTCATACATGAAAAATATTCAACATTTTTCTAAAATTCATAAACTTATTGTTTGATTAAAATATTATGAAAAGCTTTACATGATTGATTCATAATGAATAACCTATATTGTTATATACACAAATGATAATTATTTAAAGTAAGGTAAAAACTATTTATTTTTTTTAAAATTAATTTTAATTTTAAATTTATTATTTACTTTTAATAACTAAATACAATTTAATAATTAGTGATAATAATATTAATTATCTTACTTAATTTCTGGACGCATTGAAACTTGTTTTCTTTCGAATTGATCATGTCTATCACTCTTTTTCCAAAAATAGTAAAAATGAACCAACTCTGCTACTGATCTAGTTTTAACCTTCAAATAAAATTAATAATTAATTTTTAATAATGTACATGTATAATGTATATATTATATAATTTTACATTACTATTCAATATTTTAAAATCTTTATAGATAATCCATACTTATTATTCAAAATGTGAAATCTGTATAACCTATTTATGGATTTTAGTTTAAATATACTATAGAGCTATTACATTTAAAAAATGTCCAACTAAGCATTTACTCGTGGTTTAATAATTTTCAATCATTTAATACATAATATTATATAGTAAGTTAAATATTTATAATCCAGATTAATACTATAAAAATAAATTGTATGTAGTATGTAAAATTTGAATTCAATGAATAATAAAATGTAGGAAAAATTAATAAAACTTCGTAAATATATTATATATATGCGGTAATTCACTAAGTGTGATTACACATAAAATCTTTCTTTAAAAATGAATTTATTAAAATTTTGATTTTTTAGAGTTCGTTAATATGCTTAAAGCTACATTTTCTAATTTTTGAGATTTATTGTACTACTTAAGGAGTATTTTGTGCAGATAAAAACTCATTTTTTTTTCAAATATTTAGTGAATCTTTTGATGTAGAAAATATTGATGTATCAAATTTAAAATTCTAATAAATAGTTTTTCAGTTATACATTACTTATACAAGGTATAATGGCTTCAACAATAATTGTACAAAAAATAAAATAGATGTAATATTGAAACTAGTATTTGCTATACTTTCATTTATTTTCATAAATTATCAATATTGTTAGATTAATAAAATCACTTAAGTTTCCTAATTAGAATATCTTCCATATCTTAAAAATGTATTATCAAGAACCTATTATTCTTAGTATAGAAAATTAAATAACTTGAAAATTTTTAGGTCACAAATTTTGATTTTAATACATAAAACAATTTTAGAAAAATTATTCACTAAATGCAAAATAGAAATAAAAGGTTTTTAACAGAACAACTGAAATTTGTATCTTCATAGGACACTTTTCTAATAGTGCAAGAGATATCAAGAATAATGGCCATAAGTAAATTAAAAAAAAAAAGAATAGACATGCACGATGAATTATCTTATAACAATAAATCATTCCATAAATACCTAAATTATTTATTAAAATAAAAAAATTTTACCTCTTTTTGTATGGCATGAAAATTTTTTCCGCTGATCAGTAATCCCATCTCGAACTTCAATGTTTCATCTTCTGACCAGACACTTAATGATTTCTCCATTGGTATTACATTTAATGACATTCTTCTAAGAGCTTCAGCCACATCATGACCACATTGAACTAACAAGTAAAGTGCCTGCAAATAAAAAATTATTTAATTTATTTAAAAAACACAAATTTTATAACTTATTAATGAGTATAGGTTTATATAAACTAAAAACTTGAAATGTATGCAAATTCGTATGAATAATACTTATGAATAAAAATAAAACATTGAAACAAAAATATACAAAAATATTGCATCCTGCTCATTTGATTGATACTAAAAAAAAAACTGGATATTTTGAGTTTTGACATTGAAATGATAGTTAAAAGCACGATCTTAAAATAAAGTAAATGTATATAGATTAAAATATTTTTTTTCAAATAAAATATAATTAATAAACAATTAATATGTATTGTAAAATTGTTTTTAATATATATTATTAACTGGTTATTTATATTTTTAATTAGAATTCTAAATGATCACAATAATTAAAATATAATTTATAAATTTTAACAGCACTATTATCTTAATGATATCAACTTGGTCAAAAATATTTTCTTTCAATAAATTATTATTTTTTATTTGATATAGTTTAAAAAAAAAATTGTATTAAGTAATTTACAATTTATACTAGACTAGTTTGGAAAATAAGTAAATTTGCTAAGATATATTATATTTGGTGCAGTAAAGATATTTTACATTATAAATGCCTAAGCATGAGTAAAAAATGTTAAGTTAATAAGTAAATATTTTCATGGATATTTAAACTATCAATGAAATTAAATCCATTAATTACAAAATAAAGTTAAGAAACGTGTAAATTTGATGATTTTCAAAATATTAAAATAAAAATTATTTTAAATTACAGGAAATTTAAGTACTTTTAATACATAATATTAAATAAAATATAGTATTTAAGTTCGTTAACTTAAACTGCGCGCCTTTTGAGTGATATTTTTGAATTACAATGAATGTGCAACTATAACAAACAGTGTAAAATAATGTAATATCTTATCAAAAAAATTTAATAATATAAATTTAGTGACTTGATTTCATACTTGCAGTTATGAGATTATTATGTTAAACTTTTTAGTAAATTCAAATAAATGCATAACATATAATGATATCAGTTGTTTAAGTCATTCATATTTGTTTTTATAATTTACATGTTTTTGGGCATTTATAACTAAAAATAGTTTACCTTTTCATTATCACGAATACCAACAACTTTAGATTTTGGCTTTAATGCCTTAGTAATTTGCTGAATTTTGGTCAAATAGTCTTCAATTAAATCTTCACCCAATACATTTGGATCCCATAGCAGTTCATCATTATTTTCATAAGGTAATACGTCACCATATGTCGATAATCCATCTGTTACTATAGCTTGAAAATTTAACCCAACGTTTACACTCTGGTAACATAACAGATAACTATTTTAATATACAAAAGCTCCTTAATTAAGTAATATTAATTTTATTTTACCTTCCAATGAAGTTCCCAATAAGGTCTATAGTCTTCATCTTCATCTTCACTTTGCACTTGATCTGAAAAAATTAACTTAATTATAAAAATGATCATCTTTTATGGGAGTAAAATAGTTATTAGTTAATAAAATTGAAAAATTAATTCATATTTATTATAACAGACTACAAATTTAAGCATTTATTAGCAATTTAAGAACTATATTTAATCATATTAACTACAGGATGATTATTTAATCAAATAAAATTTATTATTTATTAATTTTTTAGAAATATTTTTTTTATGCATAAATTCTAGTTGAAATAAAACAACATTTATATTTTTACTTTTATGAATGACAACATACATATTATAATTCATATTATAAAGCAGAATATATTTCTGAATATTTTAATACATACAAATAAAAATTTGGACAAGTAATTTATAAGTTAAAATTATTCTATGTTCAAGTGAGTAGAGCGGTGAGGTATGAAAACACTTACAAAATTTTAGTTTACAATTTTACTTACCAAAACTTTAAATACTTATAACTAATAAACTAATTGTCTGAATTTTGATTTTTATGTATAAGTATCTAAAAATAACTAAAAAAGAAATACGAATGTATGTTATTCAAAAAAAGTAAAAGCTTTAAAACATACAAGGTTAAAAATATATTTATTTTTTTGATTTAATTTTGTTTCAACTGTAAATTAAGTAACTAATATATTTTTTTTAATATTAATAGATTTTGAAATAATGAGTGTTGTTTGATAAATTTCATCACCCAGTACATCTGCATAATGTATTTTTAATATTTAATCTTTTATACAATTTTTTATCAATAAATTAATAAGTATAATTGTAGATTAATAAGATAACAAATTGTATACACTTAAATATATACTTCCAAAGTACTATGTAAACTAATTATCTATGAACAAATCATAATTTAACTCACCAAGTTCTGCCATATATAAATTTAATAACTGAGATGCATCATTACAATCTTCATTGTCCTTAACACTTCCATTTTTTCTAAAACAAAAATTACAATTGGGTAACAATTTTTTGATTTTAAAAATCAAGAACAATTTATACTTAAGATTATATAATAATATTAGCTATTTTTATTAAACATGGATGATCATCTGATTGTATTACAAAATGGCTTAAAGAACATATTTTCTGCAAACATAAAGTATCTAAAGACTATCATTCATATTATTTTATTTCTCTATAAAAGTATGCCATAATTTTAATTACCTAATGCAAAAATAATTATATCAAAATTACATTTCATGATACCAGAAAAGATTTAGATTAATATTCATTAAAAATCATAATTTAATTTCATAAAAAAATAACTTTAAATTATTAATTTTTTCGAAATCATTATGATGCAAATAACTATACCCCGAGAGAATATTAATTCCATCATATTACAGTAGATTTACTTTTTAAGCTCTAAAATTAATCAAAAAATGGTAAAAAATAACCATTTTGGTTTTTGCATACTTATATTTCTCTTAATGTAAGAAGTTATAAAGTAAAAATAGAACTTCATAAAATATTATTTAGTTTATAAGCTAAAATAATTAAAAAATAGCCTTTATCTACTAGATAAAATTAGCAAAATATGAGTTTGATATTCATACTAAGTTCAACAGTAAAAAATTTACTTTAGATCTTTCTTCTGACATTTTATTTGATGAATCACCAGCATTTTCTTCTACATATCTTTGTCGATCACTTGATTTAGATTTTTTCTCTAAAAATAAAATTGATTATTAGTAAATGATATTTTGCAATTATTTAAATTTTTTTTGTGAAAAATTTTATGACGTGTTATTATTATAAGACTCAAAAATTGAACATAAATTTTTTTTTTTTTGTAACTTTGTATATTTTTAATGTTTTCAATGCATATGGTTCCATGATTTAATATTTATTGTGCACAATATAAAAGGAAAATAAAACACACTGACCACTTATAAGATTGTGGTCCATTCTAGTACTTAAAACCAAAATATAATATGACAAAATCAATAATATTGGAAATTTGCACAAGATAAATTGATAAGTATGATAATTAAACTACATTATAAAACAATATTTTGATCTTACCTGCAACACCATCAGATGAAGTTGAAAGCTTCTTCTAACATAAAATAATAATATTATATTAAATTACAATCATCAAGTTAATTGGAAATAAAAAATTTACCTTTCTTTTTTTATCTTTACTTTTCTTTGATGAACTCTTCTTCTTTTTCTTTTTTGTACTGGTTTCCGGGGAAGTATTTTTTGAATATCCATACATAACCATAAGTTCATGAATAGGCATGTTACTTTCCTACAAATTTATTAATAATAATAACAATTTTCTAATAATTATAAACTATAACAATAATAAAAGGAAATTACTTCTTCTAAAAATCTTATTTCTCTTAAAGGATCCTCCAATTCTGGAAGTGCTTCTTCTTCTTCCATTGTTGTTTCATCATCAGCTTCATCTACTTGTTCATAATCTTTGTCTTTACTCAAATCATCAACAGGTGGTGGCTCAGTATCTTCTATTTTATCATTATCATCTACAAAAATATAGGTTTGAACATGTATAGTAGGTATTTAAAATCATTTTAATTATTTATAATGCAATTATTTACTTATTGATTGAGATTCTTCAGATTTAGCGACAACCTATAAAATGGAATATTTATTAATATGATATATAAATTAAGTTATTGTGTAAAATCTACAATACTAAAATAATTAAAGGTTTAAAGAGTTTTATACATGTTGAATTCATTACAAATATTTAAACTGAAGTTTATGAATCACTTTAACAAGAAGTTATAAATGTTTTTCGACAATGATATTTATAATGCAGAACTTTTTAATAGATTAAATGATCTTATTTTAAATGTTATTTAAGTTAAAAAAAACATGTACCTACTATTTTTTTCGTATTAACTCATTAACAATATAAAAACATATGAATATGATATCAATGAAACAGTTATAATGATATATAATACCTATATTTAACTATATAGATTTATGGTAAACACCAAAAACTATATTGGACATAAAGATTGAAACTATTATTGGAGCGGACAGAAAATAAACACCAATATTACTATATGATTAAGCAGAAAATTTATCAATAACAGATGTGATATGGCAACAATGGATCAATTGAAAAAAATCTTTACTTGGCACGCCTAAAGGGCACCAGTAGTGATACCGATCTGACATTGAGGTTTTATTCACTCTTATTCCAGTCAACTACAGAGAGACATACTAAAAATCCTAACTCATACTATTGTTGGTGTGAGAAAGGGGCGAGGTAGGTAGAGTGTAATACCATTGGTTATAAAATATGAATACTACTAATAGGTATTAGAATCGACGCGCACAGACACATCATATTCATGAATTCTTCTGCTTTACGTAACTGCGTCGTCGCAGCCGTAATCCTCAAACCACAGTACACACTCTAACCTACAGGAGTGGTGATAAATGGAGCGAGTGGCGGGTGTGCCATTCGATCCGCCCTGGAATTCGTGAACGCACGGCTGGGTAACAGAGTAACGCGGCTAAACAACTGCCGAACGCGGCTCTCCCACCTATATCGATCATCATCGTCATCCCATTATCGCCACACGGCTGTCGTATTTATTCGTTATAATAATATTAAATTATCGTTTACCTCGTCGTCGGCCATGGTGATCGCGGTTCAGGCCGTCGGTACACAATTGCGTCAGCGGCGTCGTCTCCGATGTAGGGCGTAGGCAAACAAACAGACGGCAGCTAACTAATAACCGTAGTCGCAGGACATCATTGCGGCGGCGGTGGCGGGTGCTTGGCGCTCGTGCACGGGATACAGGAATACAGGATACCAATATTATGAGTAACGTTGGACGCCGACTGGCGAGTGGCGGTTGGCGCGCTGTCGTCCGGACGAGAGAATATCGTACTGCGGAGTAGTTAGTTTGACTGTTCGTCGTCGTCGTCGAATGGCGGGTCAAAACGCTACGATGATAACGCGGCGGCGGCGATGAGTGGGTGATAACGTCATTCGGCCGTCATTATCCTTGTTGATGTTTTTGTTGTTGTAGTGTAGTCGTAGTCGTCGATTACGCTTTTCCCTCTACCGCGCCATGTACGACCATCGCAGCCACCGCCGTTTGGCCGGCTGGGTGGGAGTGGCACTACCGATTTGTCGCCACCAGTGGTTCCTAAAATGTCTACTAACGACCGTGAACTGTTGTATACATGGAAATATTATATATATATGTCTACGGTTGTATAGATTTTATCTTTTTAATTTATTCAAGATCCGAATGCCTATTTTTCAGAAAATCAACTCGTAGAGTTAAAATAAGATGAATTGTGGAATAAAAATTTCCGAGAAAAAATGTACTGCTGAAACAAAATTTCTGATACTTGCTAATTAAAAAAACGGGTTTTCAATTAAAGTTATTGAGCAAATATTTTTAATTTGTTGAATAGATTTTAGTATTGGTGACACACTTACACAATCATTAATAATTAATTATTAAATATATAGGTTATATTTAGTTACCCAACTTATGATTTATTTAATAGCGTATAAATTCAAAATCAAGTATTTAATAACAGTTTTTTTTAATGAACTTTAAAAAAATCAAGCTTTATTTCAATTAAAAAATAAATATAGAATAATGAATAACTCTTAATTTACTTTTACATTTAAATTATATCAAACAAAAATTATTGTTACTGTTGATAGTGACTTTTTTTTATCAGCTATTATTACTATACTACAATATTTGTTTGTACGCTTATTATAAAAAAAAAATCATGTACTTACAGATTGTGTATATTCCATAAGGAAAAGAAATATTTATCTTATCAATTTCTATAAGTAACAATAATAGTTTATTTTGTATTACGTATAAAAAATTGAATTGAATTTTTTTTTTTATAAAATAATAAATATTATTATTAGAAGTTATTTTGGAAAGTCTTACCAGTAAGTTATATAAACAATAAAAACTTCTATACCTAGGCACTTTAAATATTAATTAAATATTAATAAGGGATTTCAATACTCCATTGTAAAAAAAAATGTTATGCATAAATATAAAATAAATTTCAAATTTTCGATAAGCTAAAACAAGCAGTTATTAAAAAATAGTTACCACCCTAAGTTTTATACTAAATCAAAAAACTGGAAATATTTATTTCGCCATTTACTATTTTGGTATCAAAGACCAAAGTTCTTTTAACCTTTTTTCCACCGTCTTTATTTATTCGAGTTATAAAATAATAATATTAACTATTAATTTCGAGTTGTATGAAAAATATATTATAATTTAATGACTAATAAAATGTAATAGACCAATCACAGGCCACTAAATCACGTTTTATAGACCATTATTATTTTTGTTATTATTATTGTTGTTGAGCCAAATGTTTAATGATTTTAAGTTGGTTCATGCAATATGGCATAAATTTAAAAAATACCTAATAAAGGTCTGTGCTATAGTATGTAATAATATACATAATAGTATAATGAAGTTTCAAATTTACAGATAATAAAGGTATTTTTTACTATCTACAGAAAATAACTAAAGCCGTATGTAATTATTCATTTAAGTATTCAATTTTGTAAAAATGTGTACTTTGAATGACTGTTAAACGAAATTGTATACATGCTTTTTTAATATTTATAGATTATCATCATGAAAAAACTTTTGAGAAACTTTAAATTAAAGCCATTTTATTCACAGACAAAAATGTTATCATATAGGTACATATAATATGTATAACGAATATAATATAATATACAATATACATTATAATTTATAAGTACATCGAATAATGTAAAACCAACGATAATATTTAAAAAATAATATTAAGTTTAGAAAGTACTATTAAAGATAGATATTTTATAAAAATGTCAAGTCTTTTTTTATATAAAATAGTATGTTTGAATAAAAAGTAAAAACACGGTTAATATTTATTAGATACTATTGTACCAATATATTTAAACGAAATACAGTGAAGTGTGTATGTTCAAATGCAAGCTAGCATAGGTACCTAGTAATTAGTATTGATATTTTAAAAATTATACACGCAACAATTGAATAATGACTGTCGCAATTATTCGCAATAATGATTCAAATTTCAAGGAACCTTTCCCCTCCCTCCTTCGTAGTAAAGATCGCGTAATAAATTTAATATACACGTCTTACTAACATTACGACAATATTATGTATGAGTATTGCCTATAAGCTCCTTAAAAAAATTAAAATACCCACTTTCCATTATATTTTTCAATGTTCGTATTATGAATCAAAAATAAATTATACTTGATGGTAAAATAACATATTTATGTTATATTTAATAATCAGATATTTTGTTAGATAAATACTCAAGTAAGTAAGCACCTACATACTCCGAATAATAAAAGTAAGTGATAAACATAATATTATAATATTGCAATAATCAATTAAAATACTTAATGCATAATATTCAATTTGTTAATTTCATTGTATGATACATTTTTATTTTAGTGCCTATGTGTCTTATTGGCAAAAATTGTTGTATATTTGCATTAATTTACTATAACTTTTTATATACTTTATGGTTAGATAACCATACCTTAATGATCTTTGTTAGTTTTTTGATTAAACTTTTGTTCAACAATTATTTGACAAAATATATTTACGAATTTACCACAGTGTCAGTACTTGCGTTCGCGTGGTTGTGAAAATATCTGTGATTTGGAATCCTCTTTTAGTAGGTATGAGTCAGTGTTAAGACCAAATCACTGTACTTTATAATTGGGAAATTTAAAACAATATATGGTTTTTCATTTTTTCACTTTAAATTGATTAAAAATAAATTATATTTTTATTCAATACAATATTTTTGAACTTTTTTTATTTTATATGTTTTATTTTTAACCACATATTATATTTTTTAAATTAAATTGATTAGAAATTAAAAATAATAAATTGCGTATTATTCAAAAATTATTTAGAATTGTATTTTAATTTAACACGTTATAGCATATTTTTAAATTTTACTTATTGCATATTTTTTATTTTATACTACATATTTTGACCATTTTAATTACACATATATATGTAATTATTTTTGGATTTATATTTCATATAAATTCCAGCCTTACTTATCAGGGTGTATGTGAAGAAACGAAAAAGTGTTGATGTACTTCATGTAGTAATATTCAATTTTAAAGTACCTACAACTAAGAAATTTCTTAAAATACTTATATTAACATTTTCTGGACATGATATAATTTTCAAAATATTTTGACTATGTTTGTTATTTATTAGCATTTGAAATTTTCAACATTATTAAAAAAAATTTCAAAGTAAGTTAAATAGCATGATAGTTTTATAAAATTGTTCACATAATTTTTTCACGCAGAAATTAAAAATATCTAATTTGGGTAAAAGTCACAAATTTTTTTATAAAAATTTTAATTAAATAAATTTTAACAAAATTTAATAAAGCATAATGACAATTATTGTTATTCTTTTATGATTTAAAATCTTAAGTTTTCTCTTAAAAGTTTAAATACGTATTTTTTTAAACAGCCCTGTAGCATAAAGCCAACTGTTGACATTTGTATTAATCTGTTGCGTATGAGTGCAGGCGTAGGTACCTATAAAACGAGTACCTACATAATATTATATACCTATTTATGCTATAAATATATCCATTAGATTACCATAGTTTTACGTATCAATAAAGACCCGTTTTTGTACTGGAAATTACGTTTAAACCATGATAATTAATTTAAAATTTTTGTACTCAAAAATAAAGTTAATTTTATAGAAAATATTTAATTTAATGTACAATACATACCTATAAATAATGTTTTAATATAAAACTGAAAGAATAAGAAAAATTATGAGTAAAGTTGCTAAAGATATTTAAAAACTTGAATAATTAATCTTTAGGCCTGAGGGATTATTTCATTCTTATAAGCGCTGGAGAATATAATCATTAATCACCTACTCGATACAAATATTTTTTTTCCTTTCGATCTTCGGAGGGTTTTCGATATTGTGTACTCGAGAATTTAATCAAGTACATACAAAATACACGTAAAAGACGTGGGAGATAAAATACGCGAATACGGTGTTCTTCCAACTCTTTTTAAATTAAAATAAATATATATATATATATATATTTGTAATACACAGTAAAGTCAACATTAATACTTGGTATGTATTTAAATAGTTAAATATAAAATTAAATTTTATTTAATACACGAAATTTTGTACAAAATAAAACTTTGTTTTACTTAATTTATAGGTATTTTTCTAACTTCTTCTCTAGATGAATCTTTAAACCAAGAACCAATAAGAAACAATACCTCTAATTATCAAATTTTTACTAAGAACCTCATCACCCATTATTCAAATAATATGATACAATAGTAAAATATTTATTTATTTACTTACTTTATACGCATAATTTAATTTTTTATCTTTACAAACACTTTTAAATTTTTACAGTGGCTGTGAATAACTTCTAATAAAATATATATAAATTAATTTTGGGTGGTAAATGTCCGCATGCAGGTGACAATTTTGCTCGTTATTGCTAAAAACAAACAGGTGACAATTAGTCGGGCGACAATTGACCGAAATTCATTAATAATTTTGATACGTGATCTATTACAAAATGTATTGAAGTTATTTCATATTTTTAATTTAATTTGTAGCTTTTATACATTATATATTACCAACTTTACATACTTTTTATTAATTATTATTATTATTATTGAGCTCAAAAGACATAACTTTGGAATTGTTTAGTAAAAATTCGCGATTTATCATAAATGTATAGGTTTCTATAGTAGCTAAATAATATACTTTATTATTTTACTGGAAGTACTTAGTTAAATATTGACAAATGAGTATTAAATGTATACCTATTTGATTCTAATACTAAATTGTGTTGATTGGGAGGTAAATTCGAAAACAAAAGTAACGCCCAATGCACATTGCAATTCACAACTTTAAAATCGAAACGTGATGAAACATCAAAATAATTAATTTTACCAAGTAGTGAGTAATAATTTCAAATGTATG